TCTGGGGTGCCGCTGGGAGGCTTGTCCGCAGCAGGGCTTGCTTGCCACCACCTTCGGGGTTACCAATCGGTCGTTGACAGTAGGCATTTTTGGATTCCCGGATTCCAATCTACTTTTAGACGCCTTCCTACTGCAATGATTGAGTGGCTTCACCTTGGCCGTCCTCCTTAGGGGGGCGGGCGGAACTCAATGTATCTATTGCCAACGCCTTCCTACTTCATGGTTCTACCTACTTCGTCCGACCGATGGGTATATGGCGGGGGGGGCCTGCTCCTCGCCTTGGCACCCTCCCAAGGTGGTCCCAAGGGAGCCGCAGGGCTGGGCTTCCAGGATGTACCGCGGCCGTGGTGCGTGGCGGGCCTCGCTGCACCCCACCCCCATCCATCTATGAAAGGAAACTTGCTCGACTCTGAACTTAAATTGCCTTCTCCTCCTCCTGTCCCTCCTCCTCTTCCTCCTCCTCCTCCTCCTCCTCCTCCTCCCCCTCCTCACTCACCCACTCATGGCGCTCGATCATCGTCGTCGTGTAGCCACCTGTCTTGCCCCTCCACCTCGGCTGCGGGCCCGAGGTGGAGGGGGGTTAATTAGGGAAAATGTAAGAGACGGTGGGGGAAGTGGGAGGCGCCTGGTGCAAAGCAGCCCAGACGCAGGGCCAAACCACCCCAAGGGCGAGAAGGCCAGCCCCAAGAGGCAGACGCGGAAGAGCAAGGTAGAGAGAGGGAAGAGGAAACGGAGAGAGAAGGAGAGGGAAGGGGGTTCGCCTCTAGGCCCTCGGTGGTTTGGTCGCCGTGACGCGAGGATGAGGAAAGAGGAAAGATGAATGCAAGGAGGGGGGAAGGAGAAGGAAGAAGCGGAGGTAGGTTGGCAGGTAGGAGCGCGGGGCCAGAGGCCAGTTCCTCGCCCCGACCCCTGCTCCTCTTCCTCTTCCTCCTCCTCCTCCTCCTCCTCCTCCTCGTCCTCCTCCTCCTCCTCCTCCTCCTCCTCCTCCTCCTCCTCCTCCTCCTCCTCCTCCTCCTCCTCCTCCTCCTCCTCCTCCTCCTCCCCCTCCTCCCCCTCACCCATCTATCAAAGTGAATTCGCTTGAAGCTAAACAACAACTGCCTCCTCCTCCTCCTTCTCCTCCTCCTCCTCCTCCTCCTCCTCCTCCTCTCCTTTCCTCCTCCTCCTCCTCCTTCCTCCTCCTCTTCCTCCTCCTCCTCCCTCCGCCTCCTCCTTCTTCTCCTCCTCTCCTCCTCCTCCTCCTCCTCCTCCTCCTCCTCCTCCTCCTCCTCCTCCTCCTCATCCTCCTCATCCTCATCCTCAGCCTCCTCCTCCTCCTCCTCCTCCTCCTCCTTCTTTCATCCTCCTCCTCCTCCTCCTCCTCCTCCTCCTCCTCCTCCTTCTCCTTCTCCTCCTCCTCCTCCCCCTCACCCGTCTGTCAAAGTGAACTCGCTCCAATCTGAACATCAACTGCCTCTTTCTCGTCCTTCTGGGGCCTCCTCGAGGCTTCTCGCTGCCACGGCCGCACCCGCGCCGCACAACGGGTCCGGAGGGACCCTGGGGAGGGGGCCGGGCGCCGAGTGGGAGGCGAAGGGGGCGAGGCGGGAGAGCCGCCGCGGTCTCGCCTGGTTCTCCTCCGACCTTCCGCCGCCGCCGACGGTCGGAGGAGGAAGAGGTGCTCCAGATTTCGTTTCAAGGAGGGAGGGGAGAGGAAAAGGTGAGTACCCATACCTCCAGCCCCCTCGCCCGTTTTCCCCTTCTTGGGGCCTCCTGGGAGGCCCTCGCCGTCACCGCTGGATTCGCCTCGACATCCTGGTCAGAACGCACCCCGGGAGAGGTCCGGGGAGTAGCGGTGCCGGTACTTTTTGTTGGTTTCCCCAGATGGCGAAGCCGACGGCGCCGACGTCGCCGATCGCCTTGGAGGAAGGGGGTCCTGACGGGAAACGCGGTCCTGGAGGCCCGGCTAGGGGGGGGGGGGGGGGCCCACGAGGCCCCCTGGGGCTTCACTGGGGGTCCGATGGGGGCCGAGATGCTTCGATTGGTCGCGGGGGCGTGCCTCGAACTTAGCGGTGCAACAGCACGGGGTCGTCTGCGCCGACACTGGCGCGGAAGCTGCCCGCGTCAGGTCGCGCGTAAGCGCGCCCTCGTCTCCAATGCAGCGTGCCGCGTTGGCGGCCCTCGTAAGCCGCCGTGTAAGGTCGCTATGCCACCTCGCGTGAGACCCGTTTTTGATCGTCGCTCAGTTGAGGAGGTTGAGGAGGAGTCGAGCAGGAGGAGGAGGAGGAGCCCATCCCGGCTGGAGGGGAGTCGCGTTCTGGCGATCTCGGGCGGCGCGCGCGAGGACGTGTTGGGCCGGAAGCCGCCCATCGTGTTCTCTTACTTCTTCACGGTGGTGATGAACGTGGTGGGAGATGGTTTTTCTTTGGAGCCGGCTGGGGGTAGCATTGGATCCAGCGAGCAGGGAGGGGGGGCGGGGTTCGAGGTTCTAGGTTCGAGAAGGGTGTGCCTTTTCCAGCCCCTGAGCGGCGTTTTCGGGATCTGGGGCCGAGAAAGGATCTGGGGAGAAAGCTGCACTGGACGGACCCTGGGAGGGAGGGGTCCAGGGACCGATTTCGAGCGGATGTGGCTCCATCTCCCCTCCTGACTTCTTTTCTGGGGCCCCAGCCAGTTCAGCCCCCCTGGCCGACTCCAAGGTGTGGGAGAGATGGCTTCTCCTCAGCCGACGGGCTGTTGGGGCTGCTAGGTTTAGATGATGAGCCTGTGTTCCACCACAACCACCACAAGTCGGAGGGGGGAAGGAAGAGGAGGAGGAGGAGGAGGAGGACGAAGAGGAGGAGGAGGAGGAGGAGGAGGAGGAGGAGGAGGAGGGGGAGGACCCCCCCCCTCCAACTTATGGTGGTGATGGTGGAAAACGCGCCCATCATTAGGAGCAGAGCTCCCGACCCGCCGCGCACACCCCGCACACTGCGGCCGCCCGCCGGGCCCAGAGTCGTGCCGCGGCCTCTGGGCCCGGAGTGGACTGGGCGCTCCCTGGGGATCCCGCTTCGGGGTGCTCCTTCTCTCCCTCCTCCTCCTCCTCCTCCTCCTCCTCCTTCTCCTCCTCCTCCTCCTTCTTTCCTCCTCCTCCTCCTCCTTGTCCTCCCCCTCCTCCTCCTCCTCCTTTCCTCCTCCTCCTCCTCCTCCTCCTCCTCCTCCTCCTCCTCCTCCTCCTCCTCCTCCTCCCTCCTCCTCCTCCCCCTCCTCCTACTCCCTCCTCCTCCTCCTCCTCCTCCTCCTCCTCTTTGAAGCTACTGCCCCAATCTTCTCCCTGGAGTTGGGGCTAGGTGGCCCGCAACACTGTTGCTCCGATTATATCCCAGCTTGAATCCTCCTCCTCCTCTCCCTCCTCCCTCCTCCTCCTCCTCCTCCTTCTTTCCTCCTCCTCCTGCTTATTTCCTCCTCCTCCTCCTCCTCCTCCTCCTCCTCCTCCTTTCTTTCCTCCTCCTCCTCCTCCTCCTCCTCCTCCACCTCCTCCTCCTCCCCCTCCTCCTCCTCCTCCTCCTCCTCCTCCTCCTCCTCCTCCTCATCTCCCTCCTCCTCCTCCTCCTCCTCCTCCTCCTCCTCCTCCTCCTCCTCCTCCTCTCCCTCCTCCTCCTCCTCCTCCCCCTCCTCCTCCTCCTCCTCCTCCTCCTCCTCCTCCTCCTCCTCCTCCTCCTCCTGTTGCTTCCCGGGGATCCAGCCTCGCGTTCTCGGGTTGGGGGATGCCTCCAAGCAAACTACCCAGCCCCCTCGGTCAAGGAACACAAATCATGACGGGAGTTTTTTTGCTATTTTGGGCCTCTGGGGGCCCTTACGGGCTCCCGAGACCGTCAGAAAAAATATCCGGGATGAAAAACCGTCAATAATGACGGGAGATTTTTTCTTTTTGTTCGGCCTCTGGGGGCCCTTACGGGCTCCCGAGACCGTCAAAACATGATTCAGGATGAAAAACGGGTCATGGGGGGAATGGGTCGAGACTTCCAGGGGTCGACGTAATGAACTAATCATGACGTCGGGGTCTGGGTCATTGGCTGTTCTCTCGTTCCCCCCACTTCCCTCAGAGCCCTGGCAGGCAGGTTGCCCGACTTGGCCTCAGCTGCAGCCCACATAGCGTCGCCTATGTGCGCAACTTAGCGCGCCCGACACGACCCGAAACCGAGATCGATGTCTTTGTTTGGGTCCCTTCGCTCTCACCCTCGCGACGGAGTAGTTGGGGTCGCAGGGTCGCGCAGCATCGCCGATGCATCGGACGTCGGCGCGATCTTGCGACCCCATCTACTCGCACCCCACTCAGGAGGCCTCCCACCCCACTCAAACCTCAGAGTGTTGGTTACGCCAGGTATGTCGTAGCTATGTCTCCACCAGGGTTGGTGACATCCAGATCGCGTCCAGATCGCGACCTTTGAACAGCCATTGGCCCCTTGGATCCGCTAGCGCTACCTCGGTAAGCAAGTAGGATGTTGCCAGATACATGGATTAAACCTGTTGGAAACGCGACCTATTATATGATGGCATGCTGGGGCATAGGTGCATGGACCCGCCACAATACCTACTTAAACTATGAAAGGCCACCCTTCGGGTGATAAGGAGAGGTTGGGAGGGATGGGTGCATTCTTCGATATGAACAGCCACGGTACTTCACGGACAGCAAATACGGGAACGAAAAGACGGGGCAACCAACGATTGACAACCACAGGACAACCAGGGTACATCCACAGGACAAGCACAGAACAAGCGGGGCGAACCACGTGTCAACATCTGGGCAACCACGGGCCAAGCCTGGAACGTCGGGGACAACCACTGGACAATTGCGGGACATCGTCGCTGTCATTCTGTCGGTCTATTTCTTGATCTAACGGTGGCAGATTTGGTTGACCCAGGCCACTATCAATACATCGAACGGTCCCACAGTCTCACTGTCTCATTATTTGCCGATCGATTTTGCAGTCAATGTCCCTATCTATGTTTCTACCTACTTTGTACTTCCAATAGTTACTGTGTGCATGCTTGCAGACTGGCTGGCTGTGTTCCCCCCCCCCTGGCCGACGGTGTGGACCGCTGCGCGAGCGTCTTGTGCGCTTGAGGCCGACGCCGCTGGGGCGCTGGGCAGCGTCCTTTGCGGCAGCGTCGTCAAGGAATCCGTCGCGACGAAGTGGAATGGCCGGGCCGCTGCGGCTTGGCCCCGGAGGAACGTGAACACCGTGTCTGGGTGTGTCAGGCATGGGAGGGAAAGCGGCGCGCAGCGTTGGCCGCAGCCTTCACCTCGTCGGGCGCTCTGTCCCCGGATGCAGCAGCCTTTCGTCACGAGCTGCCGGCCGGGGGCGCCACCACGGGGGTCTTGGCCACGCCGCCGCTCCCTGCTCTCGCCGACGCTGCCAGCCTCGACGACACGCTGTTCATGCCGCAGGCCGAGCTGCAGCCAAACGCACCCCGCCGCACTGTGTGGAGAGACGGCGCCTGCATCCATCCGGCTGACCACCTGCTGGCGCGGGCGGCCTGGGGCCTGCGCTGCGATGGCACTGGCGAGTCCAACTTCGGCGGCCATGTCGACGGGCTGCAGACCGCCTGGCGCGCCGAGGTCGCAGTTGTGGTGGCGGCCTCGCGCGCCGTCGGCGACCCCATCGATCTCGGTTGCGACAGCAAGTTAACGTCGTTCGCTCCATGCGCTCAGGTCGCGGCCGGCGTGGACGCGCGGGAGGGGGAGCACGCCGACCTCTTGCGGCAGGCTGAGGGCCCGCGGGCTGAGCGAGCGGGATCGCTTCGGCATCGCAGCGGCCGACGGCGACGCTGGGGAAGCCGCCGCGCAGCGGGCTCCGCCACCCGCAGCGCTGTGATAACGCGCCGCCGGGAGCTCGAGCACCTGGAGGCCGCGCAGCGCGTGCTCGCAGCCACGCAGCAGGGCTGCCCTGGCGGCGTCGCCGCCCGCCGCCCGCCGGCGGCCGCGAAATTGGCGCATCGTGCGCCGCGGGGCGCTGGCTCGCGCGGTCTCCGCGCCGCCGGGCGCCGCCCCTGCTTGGCGCGCGCCGCTGCCGGCGCCGCGGCCGCGGCGCTGCGGCGGAGATGGCCCCGCCCGCCTAGGCATTTTGGCCGCCGCCTTTCTTGCTGAGTGGTCGTGGTGGCCGCACGCCTGATCGCAGGGGCCTGGCCAGCTCATCTGTCTCCAGTGCGGCACCAGGCGTCGCGGGTGGAGATGCTCCAGAGTGCGTGCCCAAGGTGGAAGGAACAGTTCATTGCCCGCGCGCGGGCAAGCGACGCACCTTCCCGGCGAATTGCGCTTCGTTGGGGGGCAGCGGCGGCGCAGCGCTCCCGGAGGCCCCGGACTGACCCGGGCGTCGCCGGGCGCCCGCGGCTGCGTGTCGCGACAGTCCCCGCTCGTCCAAACATACTTGCAGACTGGATAAGGATAAGCGCAGGAGGCCCACGGGACAAACACAGCCAATCTCTAGACGACCACTGGACCACCTTGAGACAACCACGGCGCAACCAAGGGACACGGACAACCCAGAGCCATCGACCACGGGGCAATCACGGGACAACCACGAGACAAACGCGGAACAGCCATGGGACAATGACGGGGGCACTTCGGGACAACCGCGGGACAACCGTCGGAGAACCACGGGACACCAGCGGGACAAACACGGGACAACCATGGGACAGCCGCGGCACAAACTTTTGCACGCCACGCGACGACCGCGGGACAACCCCGGCGGCTCCCTTGGGCGTGGCCTGGGCTTTTAGTTGGTGCAGGAGCTCGCGCTGTTCCACTGTTTGCGCGCGACACGAACCGACACCGAAATCGATGTTCCGCGTGGGCGACTCCGTTGACCTCGGTCTTACTTCGGAGGCGGCCAAGAGGGGGGTGATGACGAGGGTGGGGCTGGTGGATATCATGGCGTGGGCCATGCTATCTCCCCGAATTGCATGGCGCTTTTTCTCATTGCAATACGTCGTCAATTCGTCCCCCTTGGGCCGCGCACGTGCCGCCAGCCATGATTAGCACCCCTCGTTTTGGCCGCCCCCCTCTTTGGACGGCCCCGATCGGTCCTACTTCCCCCCAGCCTCCAATTGCGATGCCCCCATGTTAATTGTGTCAAGTGCACTTTGCTGGCGATGTGCGGTTTGCCGTCTCGCTCCGCACGTACGTGCGCGTTTGTTGTTTAAAAAGGTTTGTTTCGGTGTGCGCTGTCATTTCCTTGTGCTTTCATTTTCTTCACAAGGAGGCGACGAGGGACACATACACATTCTACTATGCGTACCATTGTACCATCACGGTTGCGCGTGTGGGGTTTAGTCGGGCCTGTCTCTCTACAGGAGGGATACTCAAAACAAAAATAAAGTAAGACAAGACATCAGTGGACGATTTTTGCTGACAAGTGTTGATCATGTTTGGACTGTTCTTGGCACCTGTTTATTTTTCACAAGACCCCCCCGCAGGGGAACAGGCCCGACCTCACGTTATAACATGCGTACCGTTGCACCACCACGGTTGCGAGTGCTGTAAAAAGCACGCTGCACCCCGCGTCTGCCGCGCTCGGTGGTCCGCGCGCGGGGCTCGGGACATGCCGGCAGGCAGGCAGACGTCGGGGGCAATGCTAGGGTGAAGTCGGGCGTGTCCCTCTACAGGGGGGAGATTCAAGAATAGTCAAATTATAGCCTGGTGACGTTTTTTTTTTTTTGTTTTTTGTTTTTTTATATATATGTATAAAAAACTACAGAGGACGACCGTCGTGTCGACCGGCGGCGACCCCGCCAGCGGCGTTCAACCTTGAACGCCGCGGGCGACCCAGAATCGTTCGATGTGAAACGATTTTGACGTTTCGGAAACGGCCGATCGTTCAAGGTTGAACGATCCCCGCGGTGTCAGAAACCAACGCCGGGGTCGACACGACGCGAACCTGCCGTACCGTTGTACCATCACGGTTGCGAGTGCTGTAAAACACACAGACACAATTAATCGTCGATTCCAAGAAAATATGGGAAAATATGGGAAGTGGGGGGGAAGACAAAAACCCAGAAAATACAGGAAAATATGGGGAATCTTTTTATTTGTGTGTATTTATTTGTGTGTCCCAGTTTCCCTTCAGTTAAGTCGGGCGTGTCCCTCTACAGGAGGGAGATTCAAGAATAGTCAAATTATAGCCTGGTGACGTTTTTTTTTTTGACTACAGAGGACGATCTTTTTGTTATCAGGCCATGTTTGATTATTTGTTGCGTGTGCTTTGAATCTGTTGTATTCTTCGTCCCAAATCCGCCTGTAGGGAGACAGGCCCGACCCAATGATAGGGGGGAATGGGCATAGGGGGGGACGCATCAACCCCCAATCGCCCACTGATTGCCGATAGGAAAGGAATCTGATAGGCTCGCCGGCCCGGGAAGGTGGGGACATTTGTTACGGCATCGGGGGCCCATCGCCGATCGATCGTCGATGTACTGCCGATTCCAAGTCGACGTTCCCCCCCCTCTTATGCCAGTTCCCCCCCACCGTTGCCCTTCAGGACGGGCGTCAGCTACGCGTAAGAGTGACCCTTCGTTGGATAGTGCGCGCCCACGGTGGTCCCCCCAATATTGGCATGCGCGCTTTGATTTGGCCTCTGGCTGCCCCCTAATGTCTCGCACAATAGGTCACTATTGCCTGGCTCACTCATGCGTGCAGCCGACGGCGCCAGTTGTGTATTCGTGTGGTTGATGTCTACAATTTCTGTGTGGTCTGCCGACGCCTGCTTGCTGAATTGGTTTACGGCTTGCATTTGAAAGATATTGTGCGATGAGGCGCCGCAGACTTGGTTATTACATGGTATCCCCCACATTGGGGATAGCGTGCACCGACGACGCCCTGGCAAGGGGACAGCTTGCACAGAAAGGGCCCTCGCGGAGGAATCGCCTCACAGGGAAGGCGTGTTTTTCGGAGGTTGATGTTTCACGGTATCTTTCCACGCCAACCGTATGCTTGGTAGGATGCAACTCTTGGAAGGTTGCATTCTGACCCGGCGCATGTATGCCCCTGGTCGAAATTTTGCTGAATTTGGTTCAATCCCGTTTCTTGCGGCATGATCCCATTAAATCCAGCTTCATCCCGCCTAATCCGGCTTAGTCCCGATCCTCATCCAGCTTAGTATTGCTGAACGGCCCTCCAATCGGGCTTCGTAGCCCGTCATCGTTCTGACAGAGACTTCCCAGCATTGGTCTCCCAATCTTTGATATTTGTGTTCACGGTCCTCTTCTCGGAAACAAGGGCATATACATCACCAGTGGCGAGCGGTTTTTCAATCCCAGGACTTCTTTGAAGGTCGGGGACGACGTCGGGGTGTTGTGGTGTATACTTGCTTCCTCGTTTCCCCAGGGAAACAACGAAGAATATATACACCAGGATCCCGTATACACCAGGACCCGCTTTCCTGTGCGAGATTCAGTGTGAGGCCAGACAAAGGCGTCGGTGTATAGAGTTCGGCTCATTCTATACGGACACAATTTCGAAGAAGAAATAGCGGCATAAACCTAAACTTTTGGCGTTCCGCGCGGATGTCTTGGAGCTGCTTTTGGACCCCCCTGGCGGCGCCTCCAGCGCCGCCCCCGGCGCGCTCCGCGCGCCAGGGAGGGGTGTCCAGCGCGGATCCAAGAAATCCGCGCGGAGCGCCAATAGGTTATGTCTATGCCATTTATCTTCTTCTATATTTTTATCTTCGGCTCGAGCGCAGGGTCCTTGCAGTCCCGCGCTTGCATCGGCGGCGCGTGCCTGCCCCCCGCCCCGGCGCATGGCTCGCTGATCGGGGGGGCAGGGAAGGGGGGCGCCTCTGCCTCCGCCGTGCCCCTCCCTTCCTTCTCCAGGCTGCCCCTCCCCTGCCAGCCGTTCCTTCTCCATCTTTTTGTTTGTATCTCTATCTCTCTCTCCCTCTCGCTTTCTCTCTGTGTCCCTCTTTCTCTCCTTTTTCTCCTCCTCGTGTTTTGCTTGTATGTGTGTGAGTATATATGTATGTATATATATATATACATGTGTGCCGCTCTAATTTATACTGGTTTGTTGTTTTAATGCTGTTCTCTTCGGGGATTGTTGGAATCCCCCCCAGGCGCTTTGACGCTCTCGCCTCGGCGCCAGCTACATGTTCATTGAAAATGAGGCTCACGCTCGAGTGGTTTGGGGGGGCGCCAAAACCGGCCCAAACAACAACAACAACAACAACAACAACAACAACAACAATAACAATAACAATAACAACAACAACAACAACAACAACAACAACAACAACAACAACAGCAACAGCAACAGCAACAGCAACAACAGCAACAACAACAACAACGCTCCCGCTCGAGACTTCTTCCTTTTTTTCTCACGGCCGGTGCTCTTACTCGCCGCCGAAAATCGCCGTCCCAACAGAACCAGCTGGCGCGCTACTCTTTCTCTCATCGGCGCCGCCCCCCGCAACAACAACGCTCCCGCCCGAGACTTCCTCCCTTGTGTTCTCAAGGCGGTGCTGTTCCTTGCCGCCGAAAACCGCCGTCCCGACAACACCAGCGCTCCCGCCCGAGACTTCCTCCAGTTTCATGCTGGATGCTCTCCTTTGAATTGGTGCCGCTCCCAGCAAGAACAACGCTCCCGCTCGAGGCTTCCTCATTTTGTCCTCAGGACGGTGCTTTTCCTCGCCGCCGACAACCCCCGTCCCGACAAAACCACGGCTCCCGCTCGAGACATCCCCTCTTCTTGCTCCAGGCGGCGTTCCTCCTCGCCGCCGACACCCGCCGACGCTCGGACGACACAGAATCGAATTCCCCCCCCCCGACCCCCTGGCCTTACTATTGGAATTCATTGCGGTCGAGATCTTGGATTCCGATTTTTTCCAGCCGCTCATCTCCGGGACCGACTGCTCAATAGCAAGGCCTTGGGGGGGGGGGGCGGAGGGGGGTGTCTTCGACGGGGTCCACAGCTCCTGATGCACAGTTTTTGTTCCTTCGGCGGTACAGCCGGCCCGGATTCGTAGGTCGACCCTGCCAGATCGAGGGAACCTCTGTGTCCTGTGGCTTTTCCGACCCGTGCCTCCTGCATTCCCATGGCAAAGTGACCCTCGGAAGGGTCTTTTGTCCTCTCGCGTGTCCTGTCCAATGAAGTCCGACTGTAATTACTTCCTCCCGTCCATGGGTGGGCAACACGAGGCCAATGCCGCTGCTCCTCGGACTGCTGCCGGGGTGCGTCCTGACCGCGCGTTCGAGAAGCGAGTCGGGGCGGGGACGACGAGGGCTCTCCCACGACGAGCAGCGTCCGCGCACCACCACTGTGCACCGTGCCGCGCGGATGCCTCCCGAGGCGGCGTCGATCCTCGGCCAGGGAAGTCGTGCGTGTCCCTCCACAGGAGGAGTATCCAAGAATAGAACGGATCAATTGTCTGGGGACGATTGTTGGTATATTTTTCGGCTGTGGTGGGGCATTTCTCTGACAAGTTGCCACTTGTTCGCACAGAAGCCGCACCTAGGTAGGACGTGCCCGACCTGAGGCCAGGGATGCGCTGCACAGTTGTTCGGCCCTCCGGGCCAGCAAGCCGTGCACCGTGCCGAGCTGGAACGGGGCCGGAGAGAGCAGGCCCAGCATGGTGGTGCGGGCCACGTGCGCCGTTCATCGGAGGCGGCATCGGCTCCTGGGATGCAGTCAACCCGCATAGCAAGGGTGGGCATTTTTCCCAAGGGCACCCTTGCATCCTTGCCTTCTCGGCCCATCCTTGGCCGCATTCGCTGGTCGCGCCCCGCTCGAAAACTTCGAAATGGGCGTCCAAGGCCCTTGCAGCATTATCGCGCATCCTTACTGCACGGGTTGACTGTATCGGCACCTGGGATGATTAGCCAGATGCTTGCGGCAAGTCCTGCCACAGTGCCAGCCCAGCGTTCGGGGTGGCGACCGCTCGAGGGAGCACGGGAGGCCGTCGCGTGCGACTCCTCGTGCCTCCAGTCTTGGGGGAGTTGTCAAGAGGATGATGTGGATTATGAGCATGATGGTGATGGTGGTGATGGTGATGGTGATGACGAAGATGACGATAACGATGACGATGACGATGACGATGACGACTGCGATGACGATGACGACGACGACGACGACGACGAAGACGACGACGACGAGCAACGACGGCGACGACGACGAGTAGGAGGATGAGGAGGAGGAGGAGGAGGAGAAGGAGGAGGAGGACGAGGTTGGACAGGAGCAGCCGGAGGAATGCCATCATATGTGACACCTTTCGTTGTCTTCGTTCTCTGTCGGCGGTCTGCGGGGCCTCTCGGGCCCCTCTGGGCGCCATCTTTTGAGCCGTCTTGAGGCCGACGTGGGCCGCCTTGGGGAGCCATCGTGGCCGCGGGAGAGCGCGCTCCGGCTGCGAAGTCGCGACGAGGGGTTGCGTGCCTCGGGAGCGCGGGCTCGGTGCACTTTGCAGCGGATGTTGGCCTCGAGGGTGTGAATCTGTTAGTCACCACCTACCAGACCACCCCAACCCAACCCGAAGGCCTCAATTTGCCCTTCATTTCCAGTGGGGGGGGGTCGGGGAACGTCGAAAAAACACATGGAACCCGTACCCCCCCAACCCGAATTTCGGGTCAAACTCGGGTCTTCGGGTTGGGTTGGGGTGGTTTGGTAGGTAGTCAGTTAGGTGTTATACTTTGGCGGGGGTTATGGCCTCGAAAGCGGGGGCGAGTCATGCGGGGCAGCGTGGTAAGAGGGGGGGGGTCCTGAGGTCCCTGAGGCGATTCCAGAAGTCCTCCCAGGCAGCACTGGATCTTCTGGCACGCCCCAACGTGCCATGGGGGCACGGTGGCGGGCCTGTGGATCTACACATGAATACAGCTATACACATGCATGAAAGAAGAGAGAGAGATCTCTGCGGCGGCATCGTCTTCTGTCCCTCCTCGACGTCCCGGCCTACGGAGCCCCCGGGAGAGCGGCGCCCCCGTTCGGGGCCCCCCCGCCAGGGGGGCCATGCCCGCGGGCAGCGCCCTCGCCCCGCCATGGGCTGCGGGCCCTCGTCGCGTGCCCCCGGGCTCGGCCGCCGGGCCACGCGCGTGAGGGACCTGGCCCGGGACGGCAGGTTCTCGGAGGCGCCGGGGGCGGGGGGGAAAGCCGACGAGGCCAGGCGGCGGCTCGAGGCCCTCGAGCGCCCTCGCGCGCGCGCTCCTCGCGATCCTCGGAGGCTGCCGGGCCTCGGTGTGATACAAAAGAGACTCGCGCGCACGTCCTGGGCCGATGTTGGCGCGCGGCTGGGGTCTTGGTTTCCGGGTTGACGGCGTGGTCCGCTGATGCCCCCCCCCCCCCAGACGAGAAGGGGAAGTCGGGATCCACCAACAGCATTTGGCCGATTTCGGCGGGCGCCTAAAGTCCTGGTCTCACGTAATTCCGATGAAAATGCTTGCGCAGAACGGGAGCCCCCGAGAATTGAAAAAGAGGAGGGAAGCGAGCCGACTGAATACGAAATTTGACGGAAATCGCTTTCATTCAATGTCAGTAGAGTTTTAGGCGGAAGGAAGAGGAAGAGGAAGATGAGGGTGACGAGGAGGAGAGAGAGGATGATAAGTAGGCGTGGATGAGACGGAGGATGAGGTGGGAGGAATATGAGAAGGAGGCAGAGGAGATGGATGGGTTAGGAAGAAGGCGACGGCGACGACGACGATTCAACCACAAAGGTGGTTGCGGATCTTTCGTTCTGAAGGTCCCTTGGAGGATATTGGAGCCATCTTGGGGTTTATTTCGAGGGGCAGTTGATACCATCCTGGGAACCACTTGATCTTCTCGGGGACATCGCGGAGGCCATCGAAACAAAAGGGGGCGACGCGGATTAGCCATGGCCCTCTTGAGCCCGAACAGTCGCTGATTTGGTCCTTCTTGGAGCGTTTTGTGGCCGTGTTGGGTGTTTTGGGGGCGGTTTTTGATCCCTCGCAGGCCCCTCTTGGTACTCTGTTAGGCCATCTTCAAACCATCTTGAGGCCTCAGAGGCCAATTTCTTTGGGAGGCTCCTTGGCCACTCGGAGCCATCTTGGGGGGCCATCTTGGAGGCAGCAATGTCGCCATCTTGACACATCTTCGATCATCGTATGCCATCTCGGAGGTCATCTTGGGATCTCTGAGACCATATCGGCTCCCTCGGTCAAGACCCAGGGGATGGGGCGAGGAAGAGGGGCAACTTCCTTCCCCAAGGAGAAGAAATGGAATAGGGTGTTGGAAGGGGAAGCGCCTGAAGCCACTTCCGCCCTAGAGGGCTGGTGAGATTATCGGGTGCCGACATGACTTTTAGAGGGCTGTTGGGAGGGCCGATGGGCTGGTGGAAGGCAGAACAACCCGAGTGTACTAGTCTGGGAGCCTTCCATGGGGACTCCAGGTGGCCAGCAAGAGGGACCCGTATCGGGCGAAGAGAACTATGCACATGCACCGATCCTGGCAAGGCCCATTTTTGACCCAGGATCGGTGCATATGCCTTCCTGGCCAAGGTAGGAGGGCGTATGCACCGATCCTGGGCTCAGGATGGGCCTGGCCAGAATCGGTGCATGTGCATAGTTCTTTTCCCTCTACCGTAAGGGGTCCAAGATGGCTCAATCACATACAGCGCGCCAGGACCTTGTGTGTGTGACAGGTTCTTGTGCCGCCTCGGGCTCGTGTTGCAGCTCTCTTGGAGCCGCCGGGGCGTTGCAGATTCGCCATGTTTCTTTCACCCACCGATGGCACGTCGTCCGTACATTGGTTCTGTCGCTGGAGCAGCCTGTTCGGGGTCCTCTCTGGTGTCATCTTGTAGCCGAGGGCGGCCTGGAGACGGAAGGAAAGGAGGACTCGGGAGGGAGATGGGCGGAACGGAGCGGGAAGACGTGGGTTTGGGCAGGCGTTTGGCTTCCAGCGCGCCCGACCTGTACCCCGCCCAATTTCCTAACTGTTGATGTGTATTTGCTTTTGCCCAACACAGATGTCAGGCACGAACGGCCAGTTGGCCAGCCGCTAACTGTGCCCCCACTCGATCTATCTATATATATATATATATATATACATATGTATGTGCGAGACGCAAGGGGTACAGAGGACCAGGCAGCTGACGGCGCCAAGTGCAGTTTTGATCATCTTCCCCCGCCCTCCCAGGCAAACCGTTCTGCGGTCATGGATTGTGTGGATGCGTTCTCAGATCTTACTGCTGTATGCCGCACTTATGGTTAAGTCGAGCCTGTCCCTCTACAGGAGGAGTATTCGAAAACAGCCAAACAATAATCAGGGGACGATGTTGTTGACTATTGTTGGGCATGTCTGGGGTATTTTGGGGGCATGTCCCATTGTTCGCCCAAGATCCCTCTCTAGGGGGACAGGCCCGACCTGATCTCTTACTGCTGTACCCCGCACTTTCGGCCCACAGTGGGGGCGCGCATCAAGAAACCGCGTGCTTTTCGTCAGGGTATCCTGGGTTTTTTTCGCTCCGCGCGCTGCGCGGTGACTTCCAGGCAGCCGTTGAAGAAGCTGCTGCGTTCAGGGTGCTCCCGGTTTCCCCTCAGGCGCACCTCGCGCGCGGGTTTTCAGGGTTGGGTTTCTTGCGAGGGTCTGTTGCGGCCGCGTCCGCACGGTAGTCGACGCGACGGCAGCTGCATCCTCGTCGCGGCTTCTGGGGCAGTCGCGCATGCATTTCTGCGCCTGTGGGGCTCGCTCCCCGCATTCCCCTCCCGCCCTCCTTCCTGGAATGGGGGGGGAGACTGGAGGGAGGAGGGAGCAAGGACGAGGAGGAGGAGGAGAAGGAGCTGGAGGAGGAGGAGTACGAGGAGGAGGAGGAGTACGACGAGGAGGAGGAGGAGGAGGAGGAGCAGGATGAGGAGGAGGAGGAGGAGGAGGAGGAGGGGGAGCGGGGGATGGAGAAGAAGGAGAAATAGGAGGAGGAGTAGAAGGATACCCCCGGTTGAATCTGTGTTTGTCACCCTCTGTCTTCCCCATTCTCGCTCTCCTCATCTTCGCACCCTCCCAGGAATGAGAAACCACCTTATTTCATCGACGTACTCTTGTGTAACCATGCTACAGATCCATCATGCACGCATAGGCACACTGTGCGAACACGTGTTTGTAGGTGTCTAAGTGTAACCCGGTTCACGCCAGAGGTCGTTGCCCAGCGCAGCGACGATAGCATCCACATCCGGCTCGATCAATATGACCTCGAGACGGACTGCGTCTCGTCAGTCTCGGCCGTGACCAGCCTTCGCTCGAGGCCTGAGAAGAGAACAGGAAGGGAAGGAAGGAGGAGGATGAGGACGACGGAAATGGAGAAGCGGGAGCAGCAGCAGAAGCAATGCCGCAATGGGAGGACGAGGGGGAGATGACGAGAGAGAGGTTCTATGCCAGCAGAAGCTCAACTGCAGCGATTGACGAAGGGTCAGTGGTGGCAGCCTTGGACGAATCCATCGCCAACATGTCTGACCTGCAGGACATCGACGAGTCCTCCGTCACGCAGCCGGACTCCTCCCAGACGCTGGCCCCAGCCTCGCCGTGCCCAGACGCGAGGTTCCCCGGCAGGACAGCGGCGCCCGCGACCTTCATCGATTCCAGGGAGCACCCGCTTGCGCCCGTTCTGCACCACGGCTTTTCCTTTAAGAGCACAAGCCGCACCTCGTGCCCGAGTCCGCGGAGTGGAGATCCGGGCACGAGTTGCGAACACCTTAGGCCTTCTTGGTCGCCTTTGGTCGGCCGGCGGTCGCAGGGGCCGCAGTTTGGAGGCCCGGAGGTTGGCACCACCACCAATATCAGCGGCGTGCCTTCACTCTGAGCGTGAATAACCTCCCCCGCTTTCGCTTCCAGGCAAAACCAAGTCATACCACGCGCCTCCTCGTCAAGCGGCCTGACCAGTACAGGCCGTAGTTTGGCATCGTGTGGTATCTCTTGGAAGCGAGGGTGGTCAAAAGCGAGGTAGGTGTGTTTCCCCCCTATTCACCCAGGGAAGATGCTCCCGATCTCGGCGATGGTGGTAAGATTCGGGCTCTCTCATTGGCTGAACTATTACCACCAACGCCAACATCCATGATCATCTCATCCCCATGGAGGCAATCTCATGTATTTGTGTTGGTGTCCATTTCCAGGCCTCCAAACAGTGATGGGACGATCAGGTAAGCGCTGGCCTTCAGGTGCCTGGCCTGCGATCGGCCTGGTGTTGTCCTTGTCGCGAGCGCTTTGGTGGGCCGCGGGATGCAGTTCCAATTGTGCAATGCCTTCTTTTTGTTTGCAACGGGGTCCCCGGAAGTCCCGACCCTTCTCCTGTGGCTGGTTCTTCACTTTGGGCCGTTCCTTGAAACGAGCCTTTGGATGCCGAAGATTGTCAAAAACCTTTTGTCGTGAATTTGCCACGACGGGAGCATTGGAGTCATGTGATCGGACGGCTCGATCGGCTCGGCGATCGGCTCGGCGATCGGCCAGTCGCTGAGGCTATGATCCGTCCGTCAGAGACGACGTGTCCTGCACCGCGTCGGCCCTGTCGGTGTCGACGGCGCCTCCCGAACGCCGTCCCCCGCGCTTCTGCCATCGATCCGACGACGTGCTGCGCCGCCCGAAGGAGAGCGACCATCGGACTCGCACGGCTGGAAGCAAGAAGTCGCTGTGACGTGAGGGTGCGCAGCGCTTGGGGGCGGGCAGCAGCCAGGCAGGAGTCGAGGAAACAACATTTGCACAAGCAGATTTCTTGGATCTGCGCTGGGTCCACCCGGCGGCGCCTCCGGCGCCGCCCCTGGCGCGCTCCGCGCGGCAGGGAGGCGGTTGCAGCACAGATCCAAGAAGTCCACGCGGATATCCGATGTTTAACATACGTCGTCGTTTGTTCCTCTAAGTGCTCAGCGCCTCGGGGCCTGGGCAGCAGCCAGGCAGAAGGTGAAAGCCGTCGAGCGCGTTCCGAATTGGGCAGTAACATAGTGCGGACACCACCACACCACTCTGGGTCAAGCAGCACGAGGATTCCTCATCTTCCCGCAAAGCCCAGAACAGCCCCCTACCACCTCCAGCAGGGTCTCCTATTTCCGAAGAGTTCGTGTGTATTCTGATCCCCCAGATTGTGTTCGATAGTCGTGCTGCATCTCAGGTCCTGCGGGCATTTTTTGTTAACGCAAGAGCGGCGGTGGCAACATTTTCCCGAAGCCTGTTTCTTTGCGGACCCCCGTTCTTTGTAGATCCTTCCACCAAAACGCAACACAAAGCGTGAAACACATCACAATGCGTATTGCAAGTGCATTGACGATCATAGCAGAGTAATGCACTGACAACGAATTTGGCGCGATACAAAACAGCACAATGTGCAGACATGCATCGCAGAGCAAAGTAATGCCGGGCAATAACACGTAGCGCGAAGCAGCCCAGAGCAATGAAGACCATAGAAGTGAGCCGCCCAAACATCAGATGGAATACGGTGTAGCGCACGACACACCATACAATGCACCGTGACGCCGTTTAAACCGTAGAGTGCGGTATGCAAGGCAGTGCGCAACAATTCAGCGCAAAAGAATCTGTTCCGCTGCGCTGCAGTTCTCTGCAAACCATATATCAGTAGCCGCAAACCCGAGCTGTATCATGTCACAGCTTGTGCGCCTGGGCTCAGGTTGCCCCAGCGATCAAGACAACAATAATCGAATATCCAAGCTCGCAGGGTGGTGAGGGTTTGCATGTGGCAGCCCACAGACAAGACCCTCGTTGGACCACGAGTCCGATTTCCCCCCTCCTCTTGCATCTTTCACGAAGCAATTTCACAATTGAATGACGCAGACACCGATGTGAAGCTATATGTTCAAGCCTGCACGAAACATGTGCCACCAATCCCGCCTCCGAGCTGATGCAGCTACTTTGCCCGCGCGTTGGGAAACTTTCACAGTGCGGCAGCCAACGATAACTTCCAAGAAGTGGCTGAAGGCTTTGAGCGTGCTGAAAGTTGATCGCCTCGGAATGGCAGCACGGCCTGGCTCGACCGAGTCGAACTGAGAATGGTTGTGCAGTTGGCGGGTCACATGAAACCAAAAGTCTCTAGGCCCTTGGGGGCCAGCCTGGACAAAGTAGACAGGGCAGGAGCCACCGCTGCACGGCTCAGCTGAACTATTGGCTGCAGCTGGCGTTGGGCTCTCGTGGTGGATATGCAGCATTTCATCGTTTCCTGCTTCTCATTCGCAGTCCAGGGCGTTGTCCTACTCTGGTCGTCATGTTCTTCGGTTTCTGAGGCATCCGGGGAGCGTGCGGCGCGCGCCCGGTGGAAGGGTGTAAGGGAAGGAAGGGCAAACGAAGGCAGGAACAACCAGACCGAAAAACGGTTCGGTATAGGATACCTAAAATCGCAAAGGCACGGGGCAAGCTCAAAGGAGCTAAGTCGTTGTCGCACGTCGCAGTTTCCTCGTGAAGGCCGCAGCGTTCAAGAACTCATCCTGCAAGTCGTCCACATGGTGCGGCATGCCCCGCTTGGCGCAGCAAGTTGTCGGCGCGCCCCTCCCTGGACGCGAGAGAGAACGTGGCTCTGCGCGGGCTGGGAAACTCGCGATCGCGAACAAAAAAGCGTCTTTTCTTGCGAAGGCCGCGCAGGCGCCGCCTGCCCTTAGTAGCGAGCTGTAACACGGCCAGATGGATATTTGAACCAGGATCAAGTGGGTGACTCAGGATTTGGAATGGCGACGCTCGATGCGTCGAGGATGAGTTCTCCCTTCGGTCGGCTCGAGAACGACCTGGTCAGCGTCTGCCCGAGCGCGGAGTGCCTCTTGACATTCGGACGCCTTGGGGAGCAACGCGTTGTTGTCAGTCGCGCCAACAGTTCAGGCCATTTGTGAAAGCGACATTGACGAAACCGTGCTTCAGAACTGCCCAACGATCATCCGAGGAGGAGACGTTCGCAAAAAGGAGGGCTCAGGACAGCGCCTTGAGGTAGCATGTCGAGCAGCTCAAAAGCGTCAGACACGACGCCGCCCACCACGACGCGTGCAGCCCTGAGAGCAAGCCACGATGCGATCACATGGGCGAGTGCAGAGTCGATGCCTTTCGCACTGGAGCCCCGACAGGAAAAGGCAATGCAGCGCGCGTTCAGAGCTACGCAGAAGAAGATGGACTGGGCGCCCTACGGAGACCTGCAGGGGCGAAGTGCTGGACAGGACCTCCGGCGGCGCGCTGGTGGATTGCGAGTTCCACGCCGAGCTCCTCCACTGAGCAGCCAGGCTGACACCTCCAGGCCGCTCGCCTCCCCGACAGTCGGCGGACTGCTAGCAAAAAATGGAAACGCCAGTTAGGCGGCCCGCCCCCGCGCGGACGAGTGCGCCGGACACGTCCGAGCAGTTCGCGACGACGCGCTTGCCCCGGCCAATTTCCTGGAGCCAGCGGCAGAGGGCCTGGGCGGCGGCAAGCGAGTTGGCGGTCGACGCGCGCATTGGTGGCCTCAAGAAAAGACAGGAATTTTCGAAGAAGCAAAAGCGGCATGGAACAATGCGCTTGGCGCTCGGCGCGGATTCCTCGGATCTGCGCTGGGCCCCCACGGCGGCGCTTCCGACGCCGCCCCTGGCGCGCGGAGTGCGCCAGGGAAGGGGGTTTCTCGGATCTGCGCTGGGCCCCCTTGGCGGCGCTTCCAACGCCGCCCCTGGCGCGCGGAGTGCGCCTGGGAAGGGCGCCCAGCGCGCGTCCGAGATATCCGCGCGGACTTCCCAACGGTCATGTTCATTCCGTTTTTGTTTGTCCAAGTATTTTCGCGCGCGCCCTCCCCGCAGCCATCGGCGCGCGCGCGGTCAAGTGGATGCCGCGATTGATGCAAGGGTGGAACTCGTTTCTGCGGCTGCGCAGTGGCAGCGCCCAGTGAGTCTTCGATCCCGCGGGCCAATCGCCATCGCGAAGAACCACGCGGGCAGCGATCGCCACGGGTGCCTACATCTGCGATGCGCATGTTTTCAGGGGCCGGGCAAAGACAGAGGCAGGGATCGCGCCGGTGCATTGACGCAGTTTTAAGCTTTTCCAGAATGAGCTGGGCGTGGATACCAGACATCTGTCGGTTGCCGTTCGGTTGCACATCTCAGCAATTGTCGCCGCGTGCAGGCGAGGTCCGAACTCAGCAGACACATGCCTTAAACGCGACGTTGGCCATATCATTATGCTTGTTCGTCTATTGCCCAGAAGAACACTGGGGAGAAAAATGGAAGACGACGACGAATGGCCAGCCCGTAGCAAGAGAGCGCCGCACAAGCCCCGCCATTTTTCGAAGAAGGTTGTAGGCCAAGAGTGCGCTGCGATGCGCGGCCGGCATATTTGTTGCTTCAGTTAGCCATTCGAGGAGAGCGGTTGCCGGTTTGCGTCGTCCGGCGCCTTTGTGGTCTGAGTTTTTATAGTCGTTGAATTGTTGCCTCTGTCGATCATCCCTTGGTGGGGAGACTTCCGAAAGGAATTTCGCCGCGCAGGTATCAATCGCTTAACAGTTGAAAACAACAGTCTGGCAGACATGGCCGCCGCGCCGTCGGCGTTGAAGTTCTGAAAGAAGATGCGCCGATCCACGTTCGAGAAGGCAGGTTTGATAGAGCTCCTATCAGCCGCGCTGCCCTCCAATCTTCGCTGACATTAGGCTCCGAGAGGCTCATGCGATGCCCGGCTTAGCTATTGCGGCGTCGTGGTCGTTGTTGCCCGGCGCCGCGCGGCAGGAGGTTCTAAAGGCATTCGCCGCGCGTCGGCCGTCCGACCTTTTCACTGGGACCTCATCTGCGGGACGTGGCTTCGAACTCCCTGGCCCTCGGTTGAATTGCCGTTCGAGTGTTGGAGCCAATGCTCGCCTTGGACGTGCATGGCGACGACTACCACAACAGCTAACGCGGTATTCTTTAACGCTGCCCATTCGGTTTCCAGGGCGCATACTGAAGCAGCTTCACCGCTACGCGGGGGCCGATGCAGAACGATCCGCAAGAGTGGCCCCTGAAGCGCGTGGACAATATGCCAGGACCTGTCGCATTCGTCAGATTCGATGCGCAGCTGAGTTTGGGCCGCAGCATTCTACATGTTCCTCCTGTCCCCCCGCCCCCGCGGTCAAGCGAAGAAACAGACTTGTGCCCGGCGAGAGAGACATCACGAATATGTTGTTCCAGGAGGCTCTCCGTAATCGCAAAAGGCATGGCTGCCTTTGTTCTTCCCTTTGGTGTTGAAGTTCAGCATTGCTAGTAAAGCATCCGCGCCAGTTGGCGTGGATAGCGGTGAAACCTACGTCTGGGACTCGCGAGAAAAGCTTGCATTTGCTCACGCTGTCGCCAGGAGGGCGTTGGACACCCGAACTGGTATTCCACGGGCGGGGCCTGCGTTCTAGGGCACGCCGAGAAGCGGGACTTCGGCTGCGAAGCCGTCGGGTGGCCAGCTGCAGGGGCCGCTCACCTGCCGCAGAGAGTGACGCGCGGACCTGCGAACATCCGGTTGCCGCGGCTGGAACAAGGGCGCGTCTTGATGAGCAGCCACGTGCCGCCCCTATTGGATGGGCAGCCAGGGTTACGGAGGCAAGAAGGTGCCCTTGAGGTCGTCCCGGCGCTGCTGGAAAGCAACCTCCTTGCTCGCCACCGAGCGCCGCTCGCGCAAGCTGTCCACCTTTCACGAGATCTGCACGTTCTTGACGGAGGCAGTTGCCGA